AACCAACTCAAACCATCAAAAGGAAAACCCAACCGGAAATCTACACCCCAACCACTCAAAAAGACCAACAGAATTCCACCCAAAAAACAGCTAAACAATCAACGAATGAACCCTAACTAGCTCATAGGCAAAAAAACGAAAACCAAATACCCACTACACATACCAGTCATAAACTAATTAACCCTCATAATCTGTACAAGCGAAAGGAACCAAGTAAGGATGAAGAGTTCGCAAGCTACACCACACCCGAAGTAGGAGCATCAGCAACGCAAAGCGACGCCGATCGCAGCTTAAAGCCCGTTGTCAACGACGGCGCCTCAGGGTCAAATCCAAGCTCCTTACCAAATAAAAAATAAAATTTAAAAATATCATAAATGATAAATATGTTTTTTCTACTTCTTTTTTTTGGGCCCGGCCGGGCAAGTGGTCCTGGGCCACTCCGGCAGCCTAGGTGTTAACTTATTATGATGAGTATAAGCAAAGGACAAAAAGCTGAAAAGCAACATTACTATACATGATACCATTGCAAGGAAACCGCACGGAGAAACTTTGTCTTTTTGTCCAGATTGTAGTAGAGGCTGGATGCCAGGCCTCAAGAGGTGCCTGCCGTTGTACTCGACCAGTGGGGAGATCAGATGGCTTCTGACAGTCCCAAGGACAGTCTCCTCCAGGGGGCATCATTCGTAAACTTTTTGTTGTCCTAATCAGATCGCAACTCGAGCCCTATAGCGGTGCGACCCAGACCTGTCTCTAGACCTAGACCTACACCCTCAATGGGAACAGCAGACAGGTACCAGCCCGGATGAAGCCCAGCCCCCAAGCATCGTAAGATAGACATGAGGCCCGCCCTTGGGAATCATATATGCCTAACACCCAACCCTTACCACTACTCACGGGGGCTGTAACGAGCGCAGCCGGACTGGGATCAGGATCGTACAATGTAAGTATGGACTGTCGCGGGTGTACCACGAGGCCGGGAAACTACTACGGACCAACCTAACTCCTGTACACCGCCCATGGTGAGTACACGAGACGTGACCCAGAGATCATTGGGCCACACACCACACACAACCCCCCCCCACTCCCCCCTCGTCCCCCCCCCCACACACGCACACTCGATGGACCACCCCGAAGCCAACCACTCAAACAGCCCTCCCCCAAGGCCCACTACCAGCATACTACAGCCATGGACTAAAAACGGGTCGGTGCTCGAAGGCCGGGCTGCGGGTTCTCGGCATGAAACCACAAAGAGAACCAAAAACGAAAGAAAAAAAAAACTCAAATACGAAAACATGAAAAATACAAAGAAAACGAACCGTAAGAAACAAAAGTCGCACGAGAGAGAGAGAGAGAGAGAGAGAGAGAGAGAGAGAGAGAGAGAGAGAGAGAGAGAGAGAGAGAGAGAGAGAGAGAGAG